TATCCCTAATCTATAGTTTTTCTGCCCCACCAGAGACCCTTGTACTTTTTAAGAAGTTGAATCCTTTCACTTCAGTTGAAAGCATGTGGTCATTTTGAACTGATGCAGAAAAGAAAGATGAATTGAGCACATACATGCATATACAAAGCAGTGCTTTGGCAAAGCACCTTCCCCCTCATCTGTTGACTCATGAGGGAGGAGAGCTTGTACGCATACATATACATAGCACCAGCACTTGCCTCTCTCCCAAGACACTTCTCCATTTTCTTCCATTTATTTATTTATTTTACAGTTTAACAAGCTCTCTGTTCTGCAAGACAAGATGGGGAAATAGTGTTGTTGAGGCGGGAAAAGCCATTTTTAACCATGCCACCTACAGGCACTTCCATAGAACTGCAATTAGAAGGCTTTTACTCCTCTGCCAGTGTGGTCAACTTAAATCAGTGGTTCCTTTTTTCTCCCCCTCATTGCTCCCTTTACTTACTGGCCACTGGCCATGGTTCTTGAGTACAGTAGGGCTGCTGTAACAATAACAATAACAATAACAATAACAACAACAACAACAAAAACAACAAAAACAATAACAACAACAACAACAACAACAACAACAACAACAACAACAACAACAACAATAATAATAATAATAATAATAATAATAATAATAATAATAATAATAATAATAATAATAATAATAATAATAATAATAATAATAATAATAATAATAATAATAATAATAATAATAATAATAATAATAATAATACACCTTCCCAGGGTGTATTACCAGAACTGGCCACTAGACAGAACCAGAGACTATGCTATATACAGAAAGCTTAAGGGAAACACCTCCCTAGCCTGACTTCTCTGAGAGAAGCAGCTTCTCAAAAAATGGAGAATGGGGCAGGGGTGGGCAGGGAAGGCTCCCTTGTGAACAGGAGGGCAAAAAGCCCAGTCCATGGACAGGGGGTTCCTCTTGCCACCATGCACAGACACCAGAGGAACTACAACTAAGTGCTGTAGGTTGTACTTTGGTTGGGGAGGGGGAAGGATGAGAGGATTCCATGGTGCCCTGGTGTGAGTTTCCCAGTGGTCCATGGCACAACAGCGCACAGTTTGGGAAACATTTTGCCATTGTTCTGAATAACTGCTTGCTTCAGCATCTTAAAAGCTTCTCTCCCTGTTGCTTAAGGAGATCATACATTGTGCTTACATTGTAAACATTATATTGTATAGAACTGGCTGAACACACCTTGCAGAGTACAACACATATAAAGAGTGATAAAACCTTCCACTTACCAAGTTGTTGTTTTTTTTCATGTCAAAGAAGCTGGTTTAATAACAGAGCAGCTGCTTTCTGGAAGTATTTTAATAGTTCCTCTTAAATAGAGCTGTCAGTGTTGCAAACCGCATTCAGCGGCCACTTTCATTTTTCCATGCCATCACATGCCTCTGAAATATATTTCATCCTAGAAAGTGCTGAGGAGATTTAAGAAAATAAATTACTCCCGATTTGTGGGCACAGTGTCAACCCAAAGTAGGTATATTTCCATTACTGCATGCTAGAGCAAACGGGAAGAGTCTACAGCTTCCCAGAATGCCCTGCAAGTGAAACTGCAGACCATTCAAGATGAACCTTTTGTAGAAGTACATGGCTGATCCTTCAAGCGAAGTTATTCAACAAATAAAAGGCAACAGGGTTTAAATACATTAATTCTCAATCTGTAATACATCATTTTGATTGTTTGCCTTATGAAATACCATCCTGCTTTTTTTGTCTTGAGAACAGCATTTACCCTTTTAAGTTGGAGGGAAAAATCCTCAGGTAAGAAAACTGACAAATCATATCTAGATTTATGATCTTCTAGATAGTTTTCTCAGCTTTAAGCCAATTCTAAATTTGCCAAAAGCAAGAATGGGCCTGCTTTGTGGTATACATAATCAAGATTTCATGGTACTCCACAATTTGCACTCATGTTCATTTTGTTGACTATAGCTTGGAAATCTTTGATGAAGATTTACAGCCCAGAGTTTTTGTTAAGGTAATTCCACCATTTACCTACTATTAGACCAAGTAATTTTTGTGCTGATAATTCATCCTATTCTGCTGTGGTGTGTTTTATACTTTATTTTACTTTGTTCTCTCTCATAAGTGTCTTTGAAGAGACTGCCAAATAAACAACTTAAATCAATATAGAAATAATATACAAATATAAACTTATATATATTTTATTTAAAGTGGTTGCTATATGAAAGTTAGGTGCAATTCTTGTAACAAGCATGCAGCAAACATGTAAAATATGAATTATATACACTTACCGCCAAATCAGAAAATCGTTGAGCTGGGAATAATAGCAAATACTTTGGTTTCTTATTTTTATTGGACTTTAAGCAGAATGTAGGTTGGTTTGAAAGTAGAGGAAGTACATTCCAGGTTCCTATGCAACATTTTTCTTTGCAGCATCGGACTTTACTTTCACTTCTAGGTGCATCCGTAGTTGATCATCCTTTCAGCTTTGGCCCAACTACTTCATTAGCTCTCGAGCTACTTGTACTTGTCCTCTGCTCTTCCCCAGTAGCATGTTGGACGCCTTCCGACCTGAGGGGCTCATCTTCCAGCATCATATCTTTTAGCCTTTTGTTTCTGTTTTTTGGCAAAGATACTGGAGTGGCTTGCCAGTTCCTGCTCCAGGTGGATCACGTTTAGTCAAAACTCTCCACTATGACTTGTCCACATTGGGTGTCCCCAAGATGGCATAGCCCATAGCTTCTCTGAATTACTCAAACCCCTTCACCATGACAAGGCAGCAATCCATGAAGGGGTAATGGCAAACTATACTTTGCCAATTTGTTCAAACTGATAAGCAGCAGGGATCAAACCATGATCTGTGAACTTGGTTTGCAGGCAAGTACAAATATTTGTTTGTACTTGTCTTATTAACTGCCTTGACAAATTATATTTTGCCTCAAACAAGTATTAGAAGTTATGCATAAGGAGAATAGGAGACAGCATATGAGTACATGGCTTGTTTCTAGCACCAAACCTTGGTTTCATCTTAAATCTAAATAGGTCTAAGGAAGTTGCATTGACAAGTTCTGTTGAATAGTGAAGTAGACTTTCAGAAAAAAAAATGTAAATTGCCCAGCAATGTTCATCAAATAGACAAAAAAATCTGCTGCCACTGAATGCCAAATCAGCTCAATGTTCTTACTGACAGTATAAAAACAGGGGCAGAAAGTAGCTAGAATCAGCAACATGCAGATGTGAATCTCCTGACTGTCTAGCTGTTCTCATCTTAGGTGCCAGCATCACTTTGCATAGTGAATGTTCATAGCTTTAGCTACATCAGTACTCAACATTAAGAGCCTCGTGGCGCAGTGGTTAAAACGCTGTACTGCAGCTAAAACTGTGCTCACGACCTGGGGTTCAAATCCCAGGTAGCCGGCTCAAGGTTGACTCAGCCTTCCATCCTTCCGAGGTCGGTAAAATGAGTACCCAGCTTGCTGGGGGGGCAATGTGTAGCCTTTATAATTAAAATTGTAAACCGCCCGGAGAGTGCTTGTAGCGCTATGGGGCGGTATATAAGTCCAATAAATAAATAAATAAATAAATAAATATAGTCCCTTGATAAAAAAAAAAGTAAAGGTTCCCCTTGACATTCTTAGTCCAGTCGTGTCGGACTCTAGGGGGCGGTGCTCATCTCGTTTTCAAGCTGTAGAGCTATTACTAAAGTTGTCCTTCATTCATCTTGAAATCTCCTGTGGATCAAAGGCAGCCATTTAGCATTGAGAAATCATAATAAATCTCTCATAGAGTAAAAGGACGCGCACTAGAGACAATAACACCCAAAGGGGAGATATATTGTACCACAGAACACAGCTGCATGTACAGTATATAACAGAAGTGAGTACACCCCCTCACATTTCATAAATATTTTAGTATATCTTTTCATGTGACATTGAAGAAATTACACTTGGCTACAATGTAAAGCAGTGAGTATACAGCTTGAATAACAGTGTAAATGTGCTGTCCCCTCAAAATAATGCAACACACAGCCATTAATGTCTAAACCGCTGGCAACAGAAGTGTGTATACTCCTTTATGCAGTGAATTCACAAAAGCCTAGCAAAATACTAATACTCCTTGGCAAAAAACAAACTCTTGGGAGTAGAAGCAGGAAATCAGAGTATGGGACACAAGGATTGAGGAGAGAGAGAGAGAGAGATTCTAGTAATCAGCTAAGAAGAAAATGAACTAAGCAAGAAGAGTGCAAAAGAAAAGCCCAGTGAAGGTTTCTTACAGTGATGCTATGATAGCCAAACCCCTGTTGGATGGGATTTGCTTGCAAAAAGGGTATGATACCTTCAGCAATTGCACAAAATTATAAAACTTTCCTTTTGCAATTTTGGGGTGCTCATGATTTCATTACATTGTACGTATATGAGCTCTGCATGTCCTGAAATCTCAGAAGGAAGCCCTTCATCAACAGCATTGATGATGATCACCCATTGCCGATTATATCATTCCTGTTGTGCAACTGAAGGCAAACAACAGGATTTCAGCCTGTATTTTACAGTATCTAGAATTTTAGTGGAATCTAACCATATATATTTTACATCCTTGATTGTGCACATTTACTAAATCCTTTCTCAGCATTACATATTAACTTGCCCATTGAGAGTAACCTATCCTAGCTGAATATTTCTAGTCCCAATGATTTCAGCACAAGAGATGTAAACACATTCTGCACGTATGTATATTAATGTGGAAAGTCTTCCTGATAAGTAACATCGGTGATTCCAAATTATATACTCCTGTTCACATCAACATGTTACAGACAACAAGTGATTGACAGATGTGTATAAAATATTATAGTGGCTACCAGCCCAATTATATTAATTAGGATATGAGGAAACTGTTACCACTTCCAAGACATTTATCTCTGTGGCAATAGAACACTTCACCCTTATTTTCTGTTCTATTTCCATTTTGTTTGACCATCTAGAAATCCCAAGATGTAGAAGTAGAGAAGATGTGTTAAATGAAACCTTTATGAATCTGACTACACTTACACAAGAGGAGTCAAAGGTTCAAGGAAATCCTCCACCATCCAGTACAAATGCTCAGTTCTTCACCCGTATGACATACAACAGCTCTACCAGGTAAAGTGCTCAAAGCATGCAGCTGGGGATAAACATCTAGAGAAGAATTCAGCATTTCAACTGTTACTGTCATTTGGCACAATGTAGACAATGTGGTCCTTTTAACTGTCTGTTAAATAGGCACTGGTTTCAAAACATATGCTGTAATGCAGCTACAATTCTTTGAAGACCAGGCTTCTTTAGTATTAGAGATATTGTAGCTGATACTTCTAATATTAAACACATGACTTCTCATTCTGTATTTCAGAACTAAATCTTGCTTTCATATCCTGGTTGGGAAACATTAAACCACCATTTCCTAATTTAGACACTGTATAAAACGTTATTCAACTTGCTTACTTTAGAGTAAGCTCTATTGACTAAGTGGGACTTAGTTTCAGCAGAAATGTATAAGATAGTGCTCCAAGCTAGACAGACATTATAAAGATTATAAGGGAATACACGGGAACATAATTGGTCCTTGATTCAGTCACCCATGATTTTTTGGACTAAGAATGTTACATCTGAATTCAACTAGTGTGATACTCCTGCCTTAAACACTCTGGTATCAAAACTCTTGATTTCAGCAAAATATACTCCCAAGTAAGTATGTTAAAAGCTTTTGTATAATTTTTAAAAACAAAACTTACATTTCAGCATCAATGTAAGACTCAAATCTAAATGCACATTTTTAAAACAAGTTCTCTAATGCAGGAAGAATTAATTCCAATAATGTTTTCTTTTCTTTTATCTTCATTCAGTCTTGAGAGGAGGAACAGAACAATATTTTACAAAACCAGCTTACAATGCTATCCAAACTCCAGTATAATTTTTTAGAATATTTCAGTCATATTTCTCTAGGCAAAAGCACATCTTGTTCTTCATTGTTAATTGTTAACTTCTCTGCTCTCAGCAGTCCTAAAGTTCTTCAAATACATTTATGTCTTGCTTCATTTACTTGAATATTGCAACAGGGCAGCAAAGGTGTCTCATCACAAATCATTAATCCTCCCAACTGAATCTATTTGCAAGCACTGAAGCCGCATAACATACTTTCCCCTTGAAGGCTGAGATTACCACTTGATGAGCTGGAAGACTCAAAGAGAGCGTCCAAGCCTCACAGAAAGCTCCTTCATGCTACTGAAATCCAAATGAACACTTCCAACTCTAAAAACAAGGCAGATCTTATATGCGTAGATTTTTTTTGTTCTCTTGAACTACCAAAAAGCAAGCAAACAAACAAAACCCAAACAACTTCATAATGTCTCCCTCCAATAGTTACTAATTATTGGAACTTTACAAGTCGCACAACCTCCTCCAGACCTTGCATGAATTCAGAAGAAACTCACTGTAATGCTGTCAGATTGCCATAGAGAATAATTGACTCCTGCTGGAAACCATGAAGCTGAGAAACAACATATTCACTGTTACAAAATACTGCCAGTCAACATAATGTGCTAATTCAAGGAAATATTTGTGTATGTTTGTGCACTGCCAAGTTCCTGCTTCTTCTATGCTAATAACCTTCCTTTCCTATCCAACAGACTTCTGAAGAGAAAAGATGCTTTAATTTTTTTCATTAGGAAAGCCAGCATTTCAGTAGTATTCTCAAGATGTATCAACCATTAACTGGGGTTGAACTCCTAAACATATATTTAATCAAGTGTTTTATAATCACTATGAATCCTTGTGTCTCCCTAGGTCCCTAATCTCCTTATATAAATCTTTATATATATACATTTGTACACCTGTAAAGTAAGGATAGAGACTTAGCTATATTACTGGTGTGTTTTGAAATGCAAATTAATTATGGCGAAGAACACTGAAATCATTAGGCAGGATAATCCCCTTTAAAAACAGTACTCAGTATCCTATTGCTCATTTTGACTAGAGTACACACACTGGCTGAAATCATATTTGCACAAGTCCTGTGGTGTAATGCTGATGATGTCATCAGCCAGCACAATTTTTTGCAAATGAAACATTTTCCCCTCCTGTCATATCTATGGATACCAAGTAATCTCTTTCATCATCAAGCATGTGGGAGGGCCAAGAGATGGGGGGGAGGCTTTAGTAACTAAAAAGCACTACCACTTGGATGATTGTACCACTACCAGCAGATCTTGGTAATTAAATATTTCCTCCTCTAGTCCCTCGGCCCTCACCCATTCCTGACAATGAAAGGGATTACTTGGGTTTCACAGGGCTTGGAATGAGAATGAGAAATGATTAATTTTCAAAACGTTTCCCTGGCTGATGACACCATTAACCTTTTACCACAGAACTAACACGAACAGGATTTCAACCCATTGCTTCTACAATTCCAAAAACACATCTTCCCCATCTATATCAGGATCAGAGGTACTCACACAAAACAATAAACTAGCCAGCAGAAATTGTTCAGTGGGTGAAGTATTGTTGTGCATCTCCACCTGCACAGCTGGATTGATATCTTCAGTAACGGCAGATTGATGCTGATTTAAAACTTCCATTTGCAATTTCGGAGTGCACGCTGCTTGTACACAATGCAGTAAAGTCACATGTAGCCCAATATTGCAAAAATGAGCTTTTAATCAGCATATTCTATCAAACAGAATTTCAGCCATAATTTGGGCAAAAACAAACAATCTATGCTCCTTGTTTTACGGATGAGTGCCACTAAGGCTGATAAGCAATGAGCCCAAGCCACCTGTGGCATTATACTGTATAATATGTGTATAATTTACCTAATTATTGTGAAAGCAATTAAGTTAGAAACCTTTGTCAATCTACTACACATGAATCAGAAATCTATCAATACATCATGACCAACTTTCTGCACAGTCCTATTTCATTCTAATACTGTATATCAATTCAATTCTTTAAAAACTCTCTGGTTTATGAATGTGGGATATTGTGCTTCTGTACCAATTATTCAAAACACCAGGAAATGGCCTAATATTGCTGCACTGTATTGTACCAACATTGCCATCAGGAAAAAAGATTCTAAGGTTTACATAGGAAAGACTTAGCCCGAACATTGGTAACAATAATGGCAGTAGTCAAGATGGCCTGCAGGATGCCCTCTTGTGCTCACTAACATTCACAAAGTGACAACAAACAAGAAAATACCAGAAGCTGACTAATTTTTTCATCACTTAACCATTCTCACACAAACACAAAATCTACTGTTAGGAATATGGTAGTTTGTTATTATCTGAATATTTATAGCCCATGTGTGACCATCTCTATCCATTAAATCACATTTAAACTGACATTTTAATCACATTTAAACTGACAAAACAGATAGCAGCAGACACAGGTAACATCAAAGGAATGTATGACGGTATCAAGCAGGCTTTAGGTCCAATACAGAACTGCTCCCTTGAAGTCTGCTACAGGTGTGATCATCCAGGACCAAGCACAGCAGATGGAACACTGGGTGCAGCCCTACTCTGAACTATATTCCAGAGAGAAT